ATCACAAGGCTCGTACGCGTGGTACTTGTCCCAAAATTTCGCCGCGAACTGGTGTTGTAACGCTTTCACTTCGCCTGTCGGCAGTGTCGTGTGACATGGCACGCGCTGAGAAATATTGTGCCGTTTCGCAAAATCGTGGATTTATATGCCGCCTCACCAGATGTACATAGACGGTATCTTTCACACGGTACGGCATAAAATATCAAACATGTAGGGATCTAATGTTCGAGGCCACAGGATTAATTGTAGACATAAAATACAATTTATAGAAATTTGGAACAATTCTATGTGATTGATAAGGTGATTCATTGCGCGTGAAAGACGTGTATACACGGCATAAGCTGACTCAACTTGAAATAACACCAGCTAAACGTGCGTCATATGCAGAGTACAATCCGTTTAACAGTGCTATGACGTTATGTCATTAAACTTTACGAACAAATGGCGCAATCACTACGTTGATTGAGCAAAGGTGTAGCAATTTCGGGCAAATGCAGGAATAAGAAAGCACAAATCAATAGACCTTGCGATGCGCTGCGACAGGTTTGAATATTCCTCGCGTAGACTACAAGCATAGATTTGATATAGAAATGGATCGAGTGGGGCTGGTCATTGCAATGAACCAAACGCGAGCTGTGATATCCCCTCACAGATCGCATTCACATGCCAGCACAATGCTATATTACATTTACCGATGATTAGAACATACTCCGAGTATGTACGAACATTTCACGCTCCCAAGAAGCTGCCTATAAAAATGTGTAATAGAATCAATTGATTGTAATTGACATATAGTTGCATTTCTTTTGATTCTAGAGTTGCTGGCACGGTAAACCATTATATACTGATTTCCCGACATTGGAACGGCTAAATCACGATAATTTCTGGAAATGAATAATATCAAATGACAAAGTTCATTCAAATATTCAATTGCATGCATGATGTCAATGGCTAAAGTCAATTCAGAGATGAAGCCGCGCATGATGTTGGGCGACAAACATGCCTTGCATGTTAAGCATTTACAAGAACCACATTTGACGTATTCCGAGCTGGCACTTTGGGCTAAGGAGACATTCAATCTGTGCTCTACGCCATCGAAGCAGACCGTCGGACGCGCCATCGCGTACCTCTGATCGAGGCCATGGCCTGGTCGAAGGAGAC